TCGGAAGAGCGCATTGGAAAATATGCGATTAACGTTGAACGAGTACACGCCGACTCTGTGCGAAGGCAAAAGCCTTGTCCCGGAAAATGTGAGCTACGTGCCGAATTCCGTTAAGAAATTGGAGACGAATTACGAGATTTACGAACCATGCGCCACCACAGTGATACCCGACAGCGTTTTCGAGGAGTACGTGCCTAATTCCAAGGGTCTCAACCCCTCCATAGAAGAGTATGAGCCTGACTTCAAATTCCCGAGCAAACTGATGAAGTTCGACGATAGTTATGTGCCCTCGAGCGTACGACGAAGCGTGCCAAATGACTCGAAAAAAACTCCGAGCAAGCAGGAGAAGTCGAAGCTGCAGAAACTAGAGGCTCGTCGAAAGAGAGCAGTAGACAAGAAAAAGATGATTCTTTTCTCGTGAGATACACATGTACGAAGTGTTCAAGCGTAGCTGTAAGCGACTAAAGAAAGTTTTGCAAAGATAAAAAATAGATTTTGGTACGACTGACGTCTGTAAATAGTATAGTTTATTTTAATTCGATATATAAGATTATATATCACATTATTGTATAGTGATATCCGTAATAAAATACCTATTCTTGCTAAGTACAATGATATCGATGAATTGATTGTTAGCGAATGTCGTTTACGATATTTTGGAACTGGACAGAATAGCTATCTTATTTCCGTGCTATAAAATCGATTATTTCATTTCCGAAATGTCAATTTCCTAATGTATCAGTCTTGTGCACAGATACATCATGAAGTCACTCAGAGGTCATCTTTGGCCTCGCTTGGAGAATCTTCGACTAAATTCTTTATAGGTTCGCATTTGTTCGCCGCCATTTCTTCCTTGGATTTTCTTCATTTAAGTGTTATATTGATTGAGTTCCTCTTCGTCCTCAGTATCGTCATCGGTACCCGGATGAACGGAAACCTTATGCGTCGGACTGCCCATTGTCTGTATGGTTCTCGGTTTCTGCCACATATTTTGCGACTCCTGAAAATAACGAAACATATTTATTATGATGAAAAAACAATGTATGTAAATCAATTTACAAGTAGAAATTACCTTCATTCCGCTGATTTTCTCCATATAATAATCGTAAACAAACTTAGCCATTGTGGCATATCCTCGATCTCCATCGGAACAGTTGAGGATAGCGTCGTTCGGTGGGATAAAGTTCCTGTGACAGTAGTTATAGTTTCAACGGTCTCTGCATCAATTGGTTGAACGCTGGTGTCAATTCGAAACAGTTTTTGAATAAAGTTCTATTATATATCAAAGTAGCGCATAGGTCCTCCATGAATTGGATCTACTAACCATACCCTATACCAATTACACTAAGCGCTTATTGGACTACAGACGACTAAATCGAAATAGCGGTCGAAATAGCCAATAGGAAGGTTGTCGGCATTTTGGCTCAGATCAAAAGAATGCACTACTTGATATATATATATAGAAGAGCTGAATGCCCGTATTCATAGTCAGACCTTGTACTTAAGGCTTCCTTAAATTTATCTTTAGATGTTTAGTAGCAATGAAATAATTCATAAAGTATCTAAAGATAAATTTAAGGAAGCCTTAAACATAAGGTCTGACTATGAATACGTGCATTAGTTCTTAAAGAGGGTCATGCGATATCGCTACCAAGTACCACTAGATTCCTCGCGTCCCTCAGGTAAATAACTACGCGCATCTTAACCAGAGATAGCAAAATGTCGTTTTGCTGACCCTGGTACTTGTTGACAGTAGTTACTTTGTTCGGCCGACCTATCAGAGGGTTGTTTATTACATCCCTTATTAGATCCTTCTGTCCGTTTTACGTACTCAGGATACTGATCTTGTCCGCTGGATATCCTAGCAACCGCACGTACGACGCAATATTCGACTTCAGCGAGACGTCTACCTTTTTACAGCATATTTCCTTTCTAGTATCATCCCTTCCTTGATAGCTTTCACGATCCTTATTTGCATATCACCTAGAAAGAAATCTGACGATTCAGTGTTTCGAATCATTGTTTCGATCTGGTAAACGTCCTCGAGGCAGTCGAAAGGTTCTACGTGAAGAAATAGGCTGGAAAGGAAAAGAAAAAAATACGCAGCTTGGTCGCACCGTACAAATCCATTCAAACGCAAAAGTGGGAGAGAACTGGCTCTACCTCAACCGTCTCCGCATCGTTGGAAAGCTCCGAAGAAGAGTCTACCGTCACGTTCAGTTTCACTGGCAGCGCAACACCGTGAACTTCAACGCGACTCACTCCAATCGCTTATCAGGGTTCGATCGTATCGACCATCAAAACGTAGACTTCTCTGTAAAAGCTCACGTGACACGCATTGAGAGCTTTTCTCGTGATTTCGATAACGTGCATGTATCCTGCCTGAATCATTCTGAGCAAATAGAAAACTGCTTTTTCCATCAGTTGTCGAGTAAAAGCGAAGGTCGAGTAATGAGAAGCCGATAAGGTCGTCGCACGCTCCTCACGTTTGCAGCAGCCTAAGAAGAAAGGAAGAAGTTATTGACAAGAAGTTATTTGCGGGAAATAGCAATAGAAGCAACCAGTAGTAGCAAAATTGTGGATCTTGTCGTTCATTTGCTGAGGATTTCTCATAAAAACTACAAGAAGCAAACACAGTCGTTCCTTCCGTGTGACAAACGCTAGTGTGGCCTGCCAGTCCGTTGACCTTAGTCGCGTGTATCGCGCCAAACAAGTGATTCATCCCTTGAAGAACATTCTGAAGTTGTGTTCGTGTTGCCGACAACTTCTTTGACGTCGCCCAACTTAGCTATCTATGTTAGCGAGAAACAGACTCGCTTTGTACATTGAGGAATCAGGAAATGCGGTGCGAAAGATGATATCGTTGTCCGACGTGATTTACGGCAGGCAGCTGAGCACGTCATCAACCAGAAGTGAGCTTCGTAAGCTTTCCTTAAGTGTCCGCTTATTCGTCTTTATGTGTCCGACTCTACTCCTCGTGCAATGTTTTCACTGAAACCTCCTGTAAACCGGTTTTATCTGCGTCGATCATAATCAAGCTGGTCATAATTAATTAAACTGTTATTGTAAAATCATTTTCCGCTTCGAATTTTTTACGTAAATCGTTATATTTCATTCTCTAAAGCTTCGTGTTATAAAAATCTTCCAGCGTGGAAAAGGCCACACACATTCTAAAGTTTTCTTCTCATCTATCCTAAAATATCATAATTTCGTCAAGTAGGAAGATTCAGAAATATTCAGAAATCATTTATGCTTCGCATTTTACGATTTAAATCGTTTCTTCTCTTTATTTTATAAACGTGTGTCTCGCGATCATGTTTCGTTCTGTCATCTACTTATTGATCATCAGAAACTTAGGGAAAGGGATCGAGTGATATCGGACAAGGATTGTTTATCTTAGACATGTGTGTTAGCAATTCAATTACTGACAAGTCCACTTGCACGTGAAAGCCAAGACCTCTCCGTATTGAAACAGAGGCAATGTTATTTGCGAATTATTATACACTTGCACTCACCCCAGCAAACACAAAGTTACATGTAACGTACCTGTTAGTTGTAATTTCTCACTCACGTGCAAGTGTGTTATATTACAGTTACATTGTTGAGTGGGAAATTACAACTAACAGGTACGTTACATGTAACTTTGTGTTTGCTGGGACATTTGTTGAGCACATTAAACTTGCTTTGTTTATGAAGTTAATTTTATTAAGTCACATCATTAAATGTAAGTCTAATTTCGTTTTAGTTCATCAATATAACCAGCCTATTATTCTTTAAATTGCCAGTTATGTATGTTTTCATTTTTTAGTATACCTATTTATATTTAAAATATGAAAATTTTCATTTTATATTTATATTTTCATTTTTATAAATTGCGACCGTACTCACGAGCGTGGTGCCACTTCGTCGCGCGTTCGCGAGTATTGCTCTACCTTTCTTTCGTCGGGATCGAGCGGACAATCCTTGTCCGATATCACTCGATCCCTTTCCCTAAGTTTCTGATGATCAATAAGTAGATGACAGAACGAAACATGATCGCGAGACGCACGTTTATAAAATAAAGAGAAGAAACGATTTAAATCATAAATATTTAAATAGTAAGATGCGAAGCATAAATGATTTCTGAATATTTCTGAATCTTCCTACTTGACGAAATTATGATATTTTAGGATAGATGAGAAGAAAACTTTAGAATGTGTGTGGCCTTTTCCACGCTGGAAGATTTTTATAACACGAAGCTTTAGAGAATGAAATATAACGATTTACGTAAAAAATTCGAAGCGGATTTTACAATAACAGTTTAATTAATTATGACCAGCTTGATTATGACCGACGCAGATAAAACCAGTTTACAGGAGGTTTCAGTGATTACGGCTAATACAATTATAGCGATAAGACATCCATTCGAAATCGATATTCAATTAATTTATCAATTATTAAAACCGGACCGTTATACAATGCATGATTATATAATCATTGATTAAAAAATCAACTTCAATCTATCGTCAGTGTTTTCTGAACAAATAAGCGGCTGTATTAAAGAGAATTATTACTAAATAATCAACTTGCAGTCAATATTAATACATACATCATATGTGCACGTGTGTCTTGGAAGAAATATTTCGTTGTCTACTTAGAAAATGTAAATCCGCTTAAAGTCGTTAAAAAGTAATATCATGATAAGCGCACTGTGCATTATTGTGAAAAGTCGCACTCTTTATAGGGGATCGCACTCCCTCTAAAATTTATCAATGTAATACTTTTCTTTTTTTTCGTATATTTACAACCGCGACACAAGGATAACGACACGTGAGGCATAAAAGCGATAATTGTTTATTCCGCTCGCTCATTATACGTAATATGGCAATTGTATCTAATTAAACATGGACGGCGTTTACATCGCTTTAATTAAATTATCCTTGCAGCGGCGCGTTGGCTGCAAGCAAAGAAGATGACGTCTGTGCCGATAGTTAATCTCATGATTTACTGAAAAGTAAAAATTACTTTCAATGTCAAAATTTTCCTAGAAATTACATGACAATAATGTTCAACAATTATTACTCTTAAATCGTGTTGTAAAATGCGATTTATAGATTCTGTTGATCATTTGTGATATAGGAAGTATCTTGTTCATAAAGTTTATAATCTCGATATTTATCGTTGCGTGATAATTACGATCGGGTCAGAAGATCATACCAGAAAACTCAAATAATCGAGAGAAAAAGCGAAAGAATATTAGAGGAAAGGCGCCTATTATGAGATACCGAGTATATTTTGGGTAAATGCTAGAAATCTATTGGCAGAATTTAAAAAAATAATAGGTCATTTTGAAGGGAATTTAATAAGCTTTAAGATAATGTTATATAATTCAAAAGTTATAAAATTTAATTCAAATTCTACTTTTTTTTTAATTAAAGAAATGTAAAAAATTAGTAAATTGTAAAGTCAAAAAATTGTGCTCCTAATATGAGATGCT